GATTTTTTTTTAAAAAAGGCATGAATTACCTTTGGGGGGGGGGGCTTGCAGAATGCTCCTGAGGGGTTGGGGGGGCCAAAAACATGCAAAAAAATGGCCCTGTTTTTAATCAAACAAATTGCATGCATAGCCTTATGGAGGCTTATAGAGTGCTGCTAGGGGCTGGCGGGCAAAAAAACGGCCCATTTTTTGCTCATTTCTGCCCTCCCCAGGCCCCAGGAGCTCTCTGAAAGCCTCCTGCAGAGTTTGGCAAAGGGGGCGGGGCTTCGGGAGCAAAAAAAATGCTGTATTCGCTGTATAAGACGCATCCAGATTTTCAGCCTCTTTTTTTGAGGAAATAATGTCCGTCTTATACTCCGAAAAATACGGTATGTATGTATGTATGCATTTATTTATTTAAAAAGGAAGATTATCTGCATTTCATGCAGCGTTCAGATGCTCAGACAGGCTGCAAGAAGGAAACAGTGAAGAATCATACCCCAACCCCACGACCTTTTCCCCATCTTTTCCCAGCCCCCCCCTCCCGCCGCCACCCCCCCTCGGGGAAAATTGCAGGAAAACCACCTTACTTGGTATCTTATTGAGACCCGGCAGGGTTGAGGCAAACGGCAGCCGTCTGTAACGCCGGGGGCTTCCTAGGCCCAGCTGTTGGGGGCGGGGGGAAGAGAAGGTTAATTTGAACGTGTTATTTAAATATTAACTTTCATACTTTGGGTTGTAAGCTTTGGATTGGAATGCCTGATGTTTTAATGCATTTAACGGTTCTAATTCTCTATTTTGTCATGTGTGATACTGTAAGGTGCCCAGAGCCACATGATAGTGAGATGGACGGCATATAAATTTAATAAATAAATGGAGGGAAAAAACGTTTTCAGGAGTTAGAGTGCAAAACAGGGTTGGAAAGTGTTGTGGCCCAGCAGGAGCCGCTGCAAATAGACTCCGACAGCGAGGGGTCTTATGAGTCGGCTCTGGAAGATGTGGAGGACCCTGGACAGGATTCCGACTCTGAGCAGGGCGCAGAGAGGCTGGTTGGCCAGCAGGAGGCCCCTGAGGCATGGAGCAGCGGTGAAAGCCAAAGGAAGTGTGTTCCTGACGTCAGGCCTTGGAGCAGTGGGGAGGAGACAAGGGGATTGGTCCTGGATGCCCGGCAACGGGGGGCAGATCGACGTAGAGAACAGCTACGCAGGTACAGAAGATAATTGGACCTCGGTGGTTGTAATTAGGCTCCTCTCAAGATAGTATTTAAGGAGAGACTCTGGGAGGAGTCTGGTTGCAGGATTCAACTTAATTATCAACGCTGGAGAAGCTGTTATCTTCTGTATCTGTCAGAGTCTGGGCTGCTGCCAAGGTTCTTTATCTGTTCGTTGTGTTTGGGCTTTCAGCCAGCAAGATTGATGTTTCCTGCTAATAAATAGTTGTG